CTGGAACAGAGCAGACTTTGAATGAAGTCTTCAGTAGCGCACTTAATTTTTTTTTTAAATTAAGAAAACTTAAGATGGCGTGTCAATGCACAGAGAATGGGGCGTATTTTCTCACCGCAGATAATGTCCAATGCGCACTTGGTGATGTAGGGATACACGTCGAAGCCCTGAGATCCGACTTCCTTCTGCAGCTTTCTGACCAAAATCTCGCTCTTCTCCGAGAACACTTCCACGAAGTTGTCCAAGATCTTGAAGTGGAAAGTCGGCGTTATCATCTTCCTGTGGGTGTGCCACTTCTGACCTGGTGACAATAGTTGCCAAATAAAGCACGCCAAACTTCCGCAAAGCAAGAGACATTTTTGTTAGCAGCGGTGAAGATGTCCGTGTTGATCTTCTGGGTTGTAATGCCATTCGGACTTGTAAAGTTTCGGACGATCACTTTCAGCCCTGACGAAGTAGGGTGTGTGTCGCTCCGAAACGTTGGTATTTTCAGTACAAGTCCACACACCGTTCAACCGACTGCAAAACTAAAATTATATTTAACGTTCTAAAAGCACAGTGGTAACTATATGTACCACCTCCTTCAACAATAAATAATTCTTCGTGTTTCATTTATGTATTTCGTATGATTCTCAGAATAAACAGCGATTATTTCCTTAAACAGCGTTAACCAGTTGAACTTCGTAATGGTGAAGTGTAGTGTTTTCTTCGCGGTACGGACTGGATTCTTAAGTTTCATTTGAAAGAGCTTCGGCTCCAAAGGTTAATTAGCGTTTTAGTCGTATTATTTCCTTAAACAAGGTTAACCAGTTGATCTTTGCAATGGTGAAGTGTAGTGTTTTCTTCGCGGTACGGACTGAATTCTTAATTAACCTATAAAAAACATTTAGAAGTTGCAAACATATGGAAGGATGTATGGTTGGACATAGAAAATGAAATAATACAAAAATTAAAAACCGAATTGACTAAAGTATATCAGAAACAAAATAATAAAATAAAAACATTAATAAGTAAAACACGAAACGAAGATAATAACGAATACAAACAAAATGAACCATCACACCATTTCGCATGTCGCGTAAAAAACTTAACAAATATTCAATTCACACCAAATGAATATAATTTACTAAACAAAGGCTTAAAATACAATTTACATCATAAACATAAAACATGGATCACAAACCTAGCACTGGAAGCAGAAACTGCAATAAATCTAATTCCTATACAAAAACAAGATCATATACGACACATAATAGCAGACAAAATTGAACACCTAATTAAACAAAACAAAAAGAACGATCAATATAATAAAACACATAATAATGAATGGAAATTAATAAAAAATATCAAACAAAAATTACAACAAAATAAACTAACAATTACGCAAGCAGATAAAGGAAAAACCATCATAATACTCTCTATAGAACAATACCAAAAATACATCACTCAATTTATAAACAAAAATGAATTCACACAACTAACACAAAACCCAACACTAAAATATCAAAAGGAAATACAAAAAATAACCCAAAAGTGTAATAACATTTTTAACCATCCCAAAACACAATACTATAATCATAGCGCCACCGCACCAATCATCACAGGACAAATTAAACTACATAAGAACCCATACTCTATCAGACCATTAATAAGTTGGACATCAGCCCCTGCATATAAAATAGCAATAAAAATGCAAAACATTTTAAAAGAATATTGTAATTTACCAAATACCTTTAATATAACAAATTCTATAAAATTAATAAATGAAATCCAACAACTAAATTTTCATAATAATAAAAATATACAAATTTGTTCTTTTGACATCAATAATATGTATACAAATATTCCAACAAGCATGCTACGAGATGTTGTGAGAGATATTCTAAATAGACAGAATATAAATACAGATCTAATAAATGAAATTACAAATATAACTAACATTATTATTAACCAAAATTATTTCCAATTCAACAATGAATATTGGAAACAAGAAACAGGATTACCTATGGGAGCTCCCACCTCGAGCATATTATCTGAAATATTCTTACAATATCTCGAACATGATTACATAGTAAATATATTAAATAAATATCAAATTAAATACTATAGTAGATATGTTGACGATATACTCATGATTTTTGATGGAAAAAATACAGACATAAAAAATGTTTTAAATGAATTTAACAACATAAATCAAAATATACAATTCACTTTAGAAAAAGAACAAAATAACAAATTAAATTATTTAGATCTAACTATAATACGAAACGAAAATAACTTCGAATTCAAAATATACAGAAAGCCCACAAATACAAGCACCATAATACATGCCTCTTCATGCCATCCGAATGAACATAAACAGATGGCTATTAACTACTTAATAAACAGGAAAAATACATATCCCATAACCACAGTAAACAAACAAATTGAATGTAACACAATAAAACAAATTCTAATAGAAAACGGATATAATAATCATGAAGTAAAACCCAAAAATAAAATAAACAATATAAACAACATAAATGAAGACGGAAACGAAAATAAACAAAACAAATGGGCCACATTCACATATATAGGAAAAGAAACCAAATATATAACAAAAACATTTAAAACAAATAACATAAAAATAGCATTTAGAACAAAAAACACTATAAAAAACATCTTGAAACAAAAACCACAAATAGATACAACAAATCAATACGAAAAACCAGGCATATATAGGTTGAAATGCAATGATTGCCCGTTAACCTATATAGGCCAAACTGGACGCACCTTTAATCAAAGATATAAAGAACATATTACAGCAATAAAACATAATAAAGACCATTCAGCATATGCAAAGCATATATTAAACACAGGACATTCATACAACAAAATAGAACATACATTGGACATTATAAAAATAATACAAAATAAACGACATAGAGACACCATAGAGAAATATCATATACAAAGAACACATAAACAGAACCTTGCATTAAACGACAGCAACATTTACACGAACAATCCGATATTTAACATTCTACAGTCCATTGACCCAACCCCCTAAACAACTTTCACCCAATATATATAGCCATACACGATACTCACAACTCAGTTACTGTCTGCCATTCAATAACAACGGACACGCACCTCATACACAACCCGGTATGTTATAATACTTTATATTTTGTGATTACATTTATTTTGTTTGTAATACGATATATTTGAATAATTCCTTAAAATATTATAAATTAGAGTAATATTATTCCATTTCCTATTTCGGTAGCCTTATCACGATATGAAAATTAAAATTGATTTTGCAGATATAGGCACCCAGGCGCGTCTCCAAAAATAAAATCGAAGAAGCCTGGAGATGTAATAAAAACGAGTAAAAACAAAAGCAATATAAGCAGAGCAACAGATACACCAGATTTTAATTTTAATTTTGATAGACCTGACGATGATAAGATTGTATATCGAAACATGTCGTCAATTTTAAAATGTAACAATTTTATGTGAAATTTTATATGATTTTAACAATAAGCTTGTGTAAACGACGGAAAATAAAAGTATTTTATTTCCCGGTTATTGAATTCCTTCACACACGACTTTAAAATACAGAGTGTCCTCGAAATGCAGCAAACCTCTATGGGAATATTCAGTGAAACAAAGAGATAATAAAGTTTATAAGATGCAAATCGTGCCAAATGAAGTTATGCTCACATTAGGCCCTGTGTAGGCAATTGTGCATATAGTGACCTGTCGACACCCGACCGATTAGTGTCCATCATTCTGACCCATTTAACCTCCTATCCAAAACACAACGGGGGTTTCTTTTATCGAAGGCAAAGCAGCGGCACTGTGAAGTGATCACTCTCCTACATGTGCTGTTAAGGTTAAGAGTGCATGGAACTATACCTCCACGCCCCCATGTGTCTTCATGGCGCGGTGCCTAATGAAGAACAAGGTCAGCGTGTTTACGTATTATGATATGAAATATCAGAAAGAATTAACGAAAGTAAAGAAGAAGGAGAAAAAGAAAGAACAAAGTAGAGAAGGAACGAAATGAAGCAACCACGATCCTTATCAAAGGGCTGTTTGATATGTGACAGGCTGTAATTTATTAGGTCTACAGGTAGGTGTTTAATCTCTGTTACGTGGCAGTAGAGCACTAAATGAATGGGTCAGAAGGAAGGGTTTCAGGAGATGTGAGACGAACCGATCGAAAACTATAAGCTTATTTAATTTTCTTGGACTGACTGACAAACCAACAGATTCCGTCAGGATAATACGTCTCAGGGCAGAGATTAGAATCTGCCCCTCCCCCCCCCCCCCCCCCCCCCGGAATGTGGAGTAGCTGTTCTAACCAATCGACCACGACAATCACCGTCTATCTAGAGGCTGGATGTTTCCATGTAGTAACCCCGTTCCCTTTTCGATTTCTTCCATTCAACGGCTTCACACCCTTGACAAATGTCATCAGTCTTGATATAATTCGATATGTCAAAACTGTTCAGTAACTGAGGAGGTTGCAGACTTGAAGGCAGATGTGTGTGTTACTGGCATGATCTTATTTATTTATAGTTTGTTTAACGATGCTTTTCCTGTGGCTCAGATAATACAGCGTCGAATGAAGGAATGACAGTGAATAATGAATTGGAAAGGATAATCTCGGAAACGGGGCAACAGAATGAAATAGATAAGGATAAGACGAAGGCCTACTGGAAAGAAAGAAGCAAACAAAGAAATGAAGAAGAAAGTAAGCAAAGTCAGATATAACAAAAGGAAAACGATGGAGCAGGAAGAAATCAATTACAGTCCATCCTAAACGTTTTAGGAAGCCATGTTTCAGTCATTGTAACTGTTGTTATTGTGGGGAGAGCAACAGCCCATGCGTCGGCGCTGGTGTTAGGGCAGAGGGCTCGCGGTCGTCTCTCTAGCACGCTCAGTGGCTGCCAGCAGTTCGCAGCGTCCCGACGGCTCCACGTCCACGCACGGCGACGCTCCAGTAACGCCAGTTGATCGGCGCAGCCGGAGTGAACGCGCTTCGTGCAGGTAGGGACGCGAGAGACACGACAAGTGCCCTCATTACGTGCAATTTGTCCCAATCATACACCAAATTTTGTCGTGTCTTGTTCTGTCGGCGTTATAGGCCTAAGGGAGAACACCATAAACAGGGAAACTGTTGTTACAGAACCTGAGTAAGTCTCTTAGCAACACGAGTCAAACTTGTCATGTAGTGAGATGCAAGTTTGTTGGAAAATGTCATAATTATTCAGGCAGAACGAAAAGGGAAGCTTTACAGACAATTTTATGGGAAAAATGTCCGGTTCGGTAGCGTGGATAAACATCTGAAAAACAACAGCCTGTTACCCTGTTCCTGTAAAATTTAATTCTTGATATCACAACAATAATTATGAGCGTGGAATTACGCCCATGAGTCCCCCTGACGCTCAGCATGACAAGAAACCGCTTTCCTAAACGTCATAAATGACTAATATTTGTAACGGTGAAACGGAGTGCTTTTCACTAGCTTTGGACCGAATTCTTAAACGATATTTATGGTACTGTACATCAGCGTGATCGAATTGCTTCTTCCGTTATTATGAAATGCCTTGTCTATATTAGGTTGCCGCGTGTTTTATAGAGTTAAAAGACGCCATATACTCGTAATTATTTAAGCACATCTCCTGACAAACTCCAAATGTTGCTTTTATGCTGCTACAAACTGTTGGCTGGAATATGTTTTGCAGCGCAGACCTGGACATGATGTCATGTTAGGGTATTTAACGCTGTATTAACTGCACAAGTTATTCTCGAATATGATAAGGTATTACGTACGGCGAACTGAAAGCTTGTGGAGGAAACTGTCGTGGCCTGTTTGAGTGCATTAACTTCATGACTTATCAGGAGAAAAGCCTGGTGATCTGCAGTTAGTGATACGTTTACTGCGTATGCCGAAGTTCCGCTGTTTTAGCGGCACTTTTCCTTGTCCGTGATTTCGCTTCACAGTGTATTGGTGAATACTAGTGACTGATTTTACAGTTAAATTCGTACTCAAACTATCCTGTGAAAGATTAACATTAAAATTCTCGTCCGACAGCAGAAATTATAAATGGCAAGGTAACATTCGGTTTATTTAACGACGATGTCGGGCGTAGGTGGGATGATGGAACTCAAAGGGATGTATTATGTAGGCCTATTGGATCCGTTGGCTCAGGACAAGGGCCACTCCCGGGCTCTTTGTCTCACGGCAACGAGCCTTTGGCTTCCACAGCGATATGCAATTCCCTGACCACATTATCTGCCACCTGCTTTTCAAGAACCCTGCTCCATGGAGTGAAATGGTAAAAGAAACTCCTTAAAATCCTTTTCAAATCGTGTTGAAAGTAAAAATACAAAACAGTATTAAGTTTTCAGTCCGCTTATAACAAGGCGCTGATTATCTGCACGAAAATATCCCACATACCTGCAAGGGTTGGTACTAGGAACAGCGTTTCCTTAACTTCGATAAAAGTAATTAAACTGTACTCTGTATAGGATTTGAGGTTTTCACGGCGGTGAGTTTGAAGATGGCTGTCTTCTGGATTCTTACGCCGTGTATTCTGGTAGAAGTACATCCAGGTCCTTGCTGCCTCCATCATCTGGGCGATGATTCAGAATACACGGCGCAAGCATTCAGAAGACAGCAATCTTCAAACTGTATCCTCCTTCAATATGACGCTCTAGTTATCAAAAATATATTTTTGACCTTCAGACTACATATAAATTTTTATGAAACTACAAAATGATTTCAGTGTTTTAAATTTTGAGAGCTTGTTTTAATCTATCCTCCAAATCGTTGCTCTCTCCTATCATATTTAGGTCCATTATGCAAATTCGCAAAGCGGTCGTTCGGAAGATTAAGAAGTAGATGAGAGGAGAGCAAGAAGATCTGGAGGAAGGAAATTGATCTTGAGGATTGGAAATGGCTCAGAATCATTACCGTGCTATTCACAATGTTGCTTAAATTAGTTACACTGCTAAACATTTAATTATACATTACGAGTGTGGCAATACGGAAAACAGAAGATGTTGCACAGAGGAGCGGTACTCAGACTGCATCCCATTCTACGGTAAAGTCAAAGTAAAATTAAAAGTAATACTGTTCTGTGCCTACCAGATCATGCAGACGTGCGAAGGCGTAGAGGTATAGCTCCACGCATTCTTAATCTCGGTACTAGATACTGGTGAGTCACACACAGTACAAATGTTAGTGTTGCTAGTACGTGTTGACATGTTAGAATTTTTTGTGATAATGCAGTATAAGGGACGTCATATCACACACTACGAACATTTAGATATCAAAAATTATGCTCCATGGCTTATAACAAATAGCACATATCCATTCGGAACTCGGCTCTGCCCTACGAATTCAGAAAGGAGAAGAATTCTGTAAGATTTGAGGTTTTCACAGCGGTGAGTATGAAGATTTCTGTCTTCTGGGTTGTTGCGCTGTGTAGTCTGGTCGATGTTTACCAACGTTTCAGAGGTCATACTGCCTCCGTCATCAGGGTCATTCATCGCCCTGATGACAGAGACAGTATGATCTCTGAAACGTTGGTAAGACAAATCAGATAAGTAAGTCAGACTGTCAAGAAGTCCCCTTTCTTTTATGGAATCCAAAAGTTTACTACCGTATTCACAAGAGCCCGCCATAGTCTATACCCTGATCCAGATCAATCCACTCCATACCCTCAGATCCTATTTCTGGAAGATCCATTTTTTATAATATCTACCCGCCTTAGTCTCCGTCTTCAGGCAGGGTTGTCCTTAGGGAGAGGCGAAAGCGACGGTCGCTCGCGGCCCTCCGCTACAGAGGGGCCCGGCTCATCAGCATTACTATTTCGTGCACAGCGACAGCTCAAAAACCCAAGATTTAAAAAAGTAGCATTAAGCATATTAAAAGAAATATATTGTTGCAATTACAGAACAGAGTAAAATATACTCTTTAATAAAAAGGAGTCTAACGCCAGTACTATTAAACTTGTACGTTACCGGCTTTGTTTTTAAATCTTAAGGAAGGGCACGCATAGACTACTTCGCCTCCGGGCCCCGCGCCTCTCTAGGTACGGCCCCGTCTTCAGAGTTTCCGACTAAATTTTGTGTGTATCTGTATAGACGTTTTACTTATACTCTGAAGAAAACAGCAATATGTTCCTCTGAAATATATATAATCACCTACACGTCTAGATGGCGTCATAACTCAGATCACAATCCAATTATATGAAGTAATATATAAACGAGTATAATAATCGCTTATTACGCGTTAGACTCGGCGAATCGGAAGCGGTTCGTAGACTACCGACTGCGAAACGCTACACCAGAACACGTCTCGTTTTATTGAGGTTAAAATGAACATCCAAAGCACTCGTTAATAACGTCGAAGAATTATGTCCTGTAATTTCAACATTACAGGAGGCCTGTTGCACGTGTCAATAAATGTGTTCATGTTAATACTCTGAAGCACGAAGCTCATCTACGTAACACTTAAACATCATTTTCCTGCCTTGCAGAAAACACAAAATACCTCCGATATAAATATCAGTTGCGTAATTCTGTTTAAGGAAAAATCACTGTTTATTCCTGGAATCATAAGCAACCCACAAGTACAGTCTGTGGGGAAAATGAAGAGATTCTAATGTTACAGAGGATGATGCTTTAGAGGGTTACGTCAACACCAAGTTATAGTCTCACTTTGCAATGTTCTATTATTTGTTATATGTCGAGCAAAAATATTATATTTCGGTATGTAATATCAAAGTATTATGATCAAACAGAACGAAATCTTGACACTACCACTCATGTCATGTTACTGGGCAGAATTTAGAATCATAGAAAGCGTTTTAGTAATGACATAAAAATAAACAAATAAGGCTGTCCCACTATACGCCATTCAGGCACTTGGGGGGAGGGGAGAGAGGTCGTTTTGCTCGTACCAATTCTTAACCTCGGCACTAGGGTGGGGTGAGTGGTCAGCGTCACAAACAACAACTTCTTGATATTACTTATACATTTACACCGGATGTATGAAAAACAATGGCATAACTAAAAGAACACGATAAAATATAAATTTGCATAGGAAATAACTTGTGATACGTTGGATTTTGAGAGTCACGTATGAACGTGTGATTTAAAATATGGAATAAAGTTCTAGTTTTTTTTAATGAACTGGAATGAAACGTGGGTTACTTATCTAGTACTGTTTTTCATATTTACGTATCTGCATATACCAGCAGGTTATATTAAGATTTATCTTGAAATCCACATCAACATTTCAACTACATCCGCATAGCTTCTTTCACACGTGGTGGCATCCTTTGCAAACAAAGTTCACCACAAGACGGAGTATGATTGAGTACTTATTGATGTGCTGACGTATTCACGTAGAGGACAGGAAGGGGAGAGACAGAAGAGGATAAATGCCTAGGGTGGCAGAAAATTTTAACAGCTCAAATAGTGCCAACATATAAAGGACAAGAGCTCGAGGAGAAGTGGAACAGTGCACTTCTTACGAGGGGAAATGTCTGGTGATTATGTGGTGGCAGTTGCCTCAAATGAAGCGAATTTTGCAACGTGACAGCAATGCATGCCTTTTTCTTGAACCCAGAATCAATAATAATAATTAAATAAGTGTTTTTCCTGTTGGATAACCTGCGCAAGCTCTAAATGCTCATCACTGTTTGGATACCTGGTAATGGTTTAATGCATCAAACGATCACTATACAGCACTAGGGAAAATAGAAGGTAAGAAAAGATACACTGGGAATAAAATACAGAATCTGTATTTAATAAGCGGTAAGAATTATTAATTGCTTATTTCTTGTAGTAGGCTATATGTGTCAATTAAGAAACAGAAAGTAAAACTAAGAAATTAATATAAGTAAACTATACTGAATCTGTAAATAATAACAATATAGTTTATAGAAATAACAAGAATCTTCTTTTATTTTTAATGGGCGTTACACCATTACGTACATAATGTATTTAGCATTAAATAAGACACGTATTATTTC